AGCTTTCACAGTTGTTTGCGGTTCTGTTAAATAGATTTTAAAGTAGGAAGTATTTATTTGATATCTGACATTTTTATTTTTAAGGAAGCAATAAAGAGAATATACATTCGATAAATAAAACGCTTTCACGTAACCGTGTCTTTTCCTCGCTGCGGTGATGGGCATGAAGGTGAGCGTTCAAGGAGCTGGCGGTTGGGATTAGAGAAGTTGCAGGCGATGGAGAGCTGCTGGTGGGGTTGAGGAGCCCCTCTGAGCCCAAACTCTGCTACCTGCTGAGAGCCTCGTGTATTCTGGGTTTTTTTCCCCGCTATAGCTCCTTCTCCCAAGCCCATGTTGCACATGAGCAGGGTGCAGCCGCACCGTGGAGGGGATCTGCCAGGCTCCCGCGTCGCCCTGGTTATGTCCTTACGATGCGCTCTTCCCTCGGGAACCAACGCCTGGGGTTCACCGAGCGCTTTGCCAAATGCCATATTTGCAAATATGATTTCTTAAAACTTAAGGATTATTTAAAAAAATAATAATAAAGTCAGCTTAAAGGGCATGCCCAGAAGTAAAAGCAAACCATCCTATCACAGCTGCTTGTACTGCCTGTAGCTCCAAGAAATCCTCTCCGTGTCAGCCAGCTAAGAAGCAGTTAGGATGTTTCTCCTCTGCTCTCACGGTTTCCTATTTCTTTTATATACATCAGGCTTTCCAGTATTCAGAACATAGGTGTATTTGCACACGTATGTGTTTCCTTCGGACCAGGGGTTCTTGTACCTGCCTGCGAGGACCCACGGGTGTGCGTGTAGCGTGTGGGTGCTAAACCTGCACCTTGAAATGAGGACTTTCTTTTCACTAACTCTCATTTGCTCAAGCGCTCGGTCTGGAAATTCCCCTTGTTTTGGATTTTATGGGTGTTTATTTTAGAGGGCGCCTATTCGGGTAGCGTTGCCCGCTGGCTTCCAGCTGCACTTTCGGGGTTTTCGTTCCGTTTTGAGCCGCTCTGTGGCGTCGGGAAGGGACGAAGCAGCCCAGTGGCTGATGGTCCTCCAGCGCCGCAGTGTCCGGCTGGCTCCTCTTCTCCCCCCTTCGGATCCGCTTGTCCGTTCGGACCCGAACGCAGCGGCGACTGAAATCCCGGGATTTTGGCAGAGTCGTTGCCCTCTCGCGAGATGGAAGAGCCCAGATCTTGGGGTACAGGGGCGTTTTATCGCGGGCCCGGAGCCCGCTTTTGGTGCGGGCGCTGCGCTCTTGGCCGCCCGACTTGGCCCCGGTATCCGTGACGGTGGCTGCGCTGGTTTTTGACGTTTCGATGGCGTCCCTCTCCTCGCTTTTCATGAAAAATTTGCCTTTCCCTGTCCACCCCGGGGTGGGGAGGGGGAAGACAACCCTCCACCTTGTGTAGTCAAGGTTATGGCGATAAATCCTGGAGCATTGTCACTGCTATTGGGAGTAAATTGGCTGGCCGCTCTCGGGCTGAAGGGGAGATAATTTGCTGTAGTATTTCAAATGGATTAGAAATGGATTTGAAGGGAAAGTTCATGCCTCCCATTACAAAGGCGAGAAAGAAGACTATCTTAAGGCCCTGTTCACACTCTGGCCTTCATTATCCACGCTTAATACCTTTCCTATTTTCTGTCAT